AGGCGCCACATGACCCACTCACACGAGACCCTGGAGCAGACAGGTTCGGACACAGAGGCGGACAGTGGGGCTGGAGGCGGGGGGAGGGGAGCAGGGAGCTGGTTTGTGCCAGGGACAGCAGCTCAGTCTGGGAGGATGAGGACAGCCCAGGGAGAACAGTGGGAACGGCTGCACGGCCGTGCAAGGCTGCCTCATGCTGCCGAGCTGCAAACTCAGAAATGGCGGGATTAACGCACATCTTCACACACAGACACGCGCGCACGGTCGGTCTCCCATCCCTGCGGCCTCCGGGCCTCATAGTGTCCCCGAGGGGAGGCTCACCCACACGAGGAAGCAGGTCTCCCTGCAAGCCCTCCCCCAGCACCCACACCTCCTCCTCCCTTCACAGTGGACGGGCCCCTACTGGCAACCTGGGGACCCCCTGCACCGCCCATACTCAGGCACGGGTGTGCTCCCCTGGGAGGTGAGGGGTGCAGCCACTCGGGGCCCCGCGGGCACCCACGCTTTCCACAGGCTGGGAGGGCAGTGCCCTGGGGCCCTGGGCCACTCAACAGCCAGCGGACAGCAGAGTCCCCAGGACAGTGCCAGCCCATGCAAGGCCTGGCCAGCTTCTCTGGGGTACGGGCCCTGCGGACAGCGAGCTGCTGGCTGCAGGTGCCGGCACAGGGCTGAGGCATGGGGGGCCAGAAGGCAGCTGTGGGGGACGGGGCCCAGGAAGGGCCCACACGGTCGTCAGGGTCTCCACTCGGGAAAGCCTGGGCTTCGAAAGCCGGCTGTCCACCCAACGGGGTTCTTTTCTTTGTGACGCCAGCTAGAAACCGCTTTTGTGGACCAGCGCACACTGGATGGTGCTGCAGCGGGTCAGGAACGAGGGGCTTCTGCTGTCGGAGGTAAGAACATAAGCAACAAGGAGGCGTCCACGTCGCGGCCCGTGCCCAGCAGAGCAGGCGTCCAGGACACGCGGTACAAACAGGCACTCACAGGTTTTCACTTCCTTCTGTGCAGCTGGCCAGAGGGGGGAGGCCGGGGCCCGAGGGGGGCCCACGAGAAGCGAACCCCCAGGCAGACGCTGCTCCCACGGGCTCCCCAGCTACGGGATGAAGGATGGCCTGCTGACACTCACGAAACACTCCGGGCACAATGGAAACCCGATGGGGAGGCAGGAAGGCTTGTGTGCAGCTGAGCGATCGCTGGGAGACAGAACTCTGTGGAGTGACGGCCGAGAGGGCCCCCAGCTCACAGGACCCAGCAGCCCCGCCACTGGCCCAACTGTGGGAGGGAAGCACCCACAAGCCAAACGCCCGCCTCCCCAGGAAGGCCCGTTCTCCGGAGGGGAGCTGGTCCTCGCGCCTGCCCCCGCCTCCCTGTTCTGACCGATGCATCCTTAGAAACATCCTCGGAAGACGGTTACTTGCACTTTCCTTCCTGCCCCAGTCTCTGGAGTTGGCGGGGCGGGGGGGGGGGGGGTGTGCAGGCCCGGCTCCAGCGGAGGCCCGGGACACAGACCGCCGCTGCCCCTCAGAGGCTGGCAGGCGAAGCCGCACCCTGGGGGGCTGATGAGGAACCTTGGAGGCTGAGGCCATACAACCCGGCCTGGCATCAGAACGCAGGTCTCTCTGTGACCAGGTACAACTGTTTTCTTGGAACAGGTGGCCATGAGGCCACCGGCCCAGAGCCAGTGCGAACACTTGCGGAGGTGGACAACAGACCCCCAGCACTCTGTCCGTAACTCCCAAATCCACCATGTCCAACAGCTGGGGGCAGGCAGGAGGACACCGAAGGCTAGCCTCCTCCTCCTCCCTGGCTGTGTGGAGGCTCTGCTCCGACCCCCGGTGGGCCGGCTTCCATCGCCTTCCCGGCTGAGGCCTCCACACTCAGGGGCCAGCCCTGGAACGAGACCATCGGTCACTTCAGTCCAGCATTTGTGCAGAGCCTGTGCCTGGCAGCCACGGGCCCCTGCCAGGGCTTGGCCAGGTGTGTGCCACAACCCAGCAAGCCGAGACGCGGGCAGATGGCCAGCCCAGTCCCACTCGGTGTTGAGGGTACGGCAAAACACCGGCGGCCCGTGTCCTGAGCCAGCCACTGCACTGCTGATGGCCACACCCAGATTCTCCTTTTTTAAGTGAATAGGAGCAATTGAAAAACCAATGTCCACAAACCACAGCACCCAATACACAGGGAAGAGACTTGATTTCACCTTTTAGTTCGGAAAACACAAGCACTTGATTGTATCACGGAGGCTTCCTGGGGCAGCAGAGGACACGCGTGGCTGACGGCCTTGACTCTGTGATCACTCAGACGCCCCCAGAAACGCTTCGAGTGAGTGTGGCGGGGGCGGGGAGTCAGGCTGGAACAGCCCAGTACTTGGTGAGCTGGGTGTACAAATTCGAGGGTGGAAGTGCCCCCAATCACAATGTATTTGTGCTCGTTTGTGACAAAGCAGTACTTCCCACAAGCACGGGGTCTCGCAGGGTTAAGATCCCAAGAAGAAAATGGCACTGGCATCTGGGAATCCACTCAGCCCACCTGAGGGTCACCACGCAGCCAGCGCGGCCTCGGGCTAACGGTCCGGCGGGAAGCTGTTCTCACCCAAGGGCAGCGTGCAGGCCACTGGCGTCCAACGGCCCCGCGTCCCGACCCGAGGTGCTCAGACCCTCCGCCAGCCCCCAGGCGTGAGCGACAGGGCGGAGACGACCGAGAACGGCCGGAGCCTCGGTCCGTGCGGGCACCTCCAGGACTCGGAGCCCATCCGGCCGCCCAGGGCGCCGGGTCACCCACCGTGGGGCCCTGCCTCCGAACACAAAACGAACATTAGCTTTTTTTTGGATTTTATTTATTTTTTACAGGAACTAACATGAAGGGCACACGGACAACGACTAAGGGGGTGGAAATGAGCACGGGGGGGGGGGGCTGGGAAGGGAGTAAAAGAAATACTGTAGTTGAAAATAATTTTAAAAATAAATAAGTAAGAAACTAGGGAGCCTTGCAGAGAGAAAAAAAAGATTTTATTTTTTGAGAAAGGGGAAAGAAGGGAGAGAGTGGGAGAAATAACAATGTGTGCTTGCCTCTCTCTTGCCCCCTACTGGGGACCTGGCCTACAACCCAGACATGTATCCTGACTGGGAATCGAACCACGATCCTTTGGTTCACAGGCCAGCGCTCAATCCACTGGGCCGCGCCAGGCAGGGAAGCCACCCTTCAAAGTGTCCGTGGGCCCTGGACGGCAGCAGGTCTGTGGCCTCAGATCTGAGGGCTCTGGTGGGCGTGGCCTGGGACCCTAGGCCACACTGTCCCGCCCCCACCCCCCACCAGAAGGGAGACAGCCGCCTTCCCACTGTGAGGGCTGCTGTTCACGGCTCAGCTTCTGAGGAGCTCTAGCTGCTCCCGGCTGCCTGCCCACCCCCCACTGCCCTCGACCAGAACTCATTTGAGTGAGTTTCTGCCCCCTGCAACCTGCAGAGGCTGCTTCTAGGAGCCTCGGGGTCTAAGCAAGGAAGTTGGGAAGCTGCCGGGAAGGAAAGGGCCTCTGGCTCTGGTCGTGCGTCCTGCGATGAGCCCACGAGCCCAAGTGTCGGGGAGCAAGCGCTCTGGGTGCCGGCCCACAGCCTGGGCCACGAGGTCCCCGTGCCTCCGAGTGGGTCGGTACACCCAGGGTTGGCAAAGGCCCTCGTTCACACGCAGCACGTGGGTGTGCCGCCGTCCCAGGGGTCACAGACACATCGCACTCTGCACGCCCTCCCGCTGCCCGGCAGGTGGTGGCGTGAATCCCCTGAGACACCTTTAGTGTCGGAAACAGTGCAGCAGGCACACCTGCCCCACCAACTCGGAGTTCACTTTCCCGGAACGAACTTCCTTCCAAGTGACCGTGCACTTGGCTTTGCTGTGAGGAGGGAAAGTCGTTAAAACCTCTTAAGAATTGACGGGCAAAATGAATGAGAATCGACAGGACCAGAAGCAGCTATTTATTCCAGCGTCGCTTTACCCAAGGAGAGGACCACCTCAGTGACCTTGACAGCAGTCCGTGAACTGGAGGAGCTAACAGCAGGGATTAAAATCTAAGAAACAACTCCTGCCTCCCAGCCCACAGGGACCTTCCCCCTGCCGAGGCCACTGTCCCTCATCACTGGGCAGACATGGCGTCTGTCACGCGCGGTGGTGACAGGCCCAGGACCTGCAGCGAGTGGCAGCAGAGGGGGGAGAATTCACTGTTACTTCCGTGGAGCCGAGCTCCATGCTGCCTGGTGCGTGACCCCACTCCCTGGTGAACAGACACGCGTGCTCCTGGGCGCTGGGCCGACAAGCCTCCCACACCGCCAGGCACCGCCCTTACAGAGCACCCAGGGGTGACACACTCCCTCCGGTTCCTGCCATTTCTCCCTGGGTATCACCTTCGGTGGCTGAACTTCACAAACCACAGAAAAAAACCAGTCTTCCTACTCTGTTGCCTCATTTTGGAATAAAAGCTGTTTGCCAAGTAGCTTGGCAACTACCAGGCCACACACCTACCAAGAACACGCTTGCCAACGTGGCCCAGCTGCGGAGGCAGGTGTCCCCTCCTGTCACCGAGGGCAGGTGGCCCCACAGCAGCGTCCCAATCAGTGTTGTTTAAGGAGTCAAACTTTTCAGGTGACATTTTATTTAATGTCTTCGTTTCCTCTACCTCAAATTGGTATCGTAGCCCTTCTGCAGCCAAGAGCCGGCTGGGAGTCCAGGCAGGACGAGCCTTGTGGCCTGGGTGCACCAGGCCCCGCCTCCTCCCAGGGCGCCCTGTGGTGACGTGAGCCCAGGGCCCCAGGAGGAAGGGGTGGGACTCAGGGCACTCACAGGCTTTCAGGTCCCGCCGCAGCTTCTCGGGGAGGCCTGGGTGCCTCCCAGGGCGGGCACTACCCGCCGGCCGTCTTCTGCCCCAGGCCCAGCTTGTTCCACACACGCTGCAGCGCCACGCGGCCCATGAAGAAGGTGATGGCGAAGTTACGCCTGTACCAGCCCCTATGGGGAAGCAGGGCGGCACAGTCACCCGCTGGACGTGCCGCCAGCCTCGGGGCACTGGGACCCGGCGCCCTCCTTTCCCCCCTCGGGAAGCCACCCGCTGCACCGGAACGTCACCAGGCTGAGGAGGCCCCACCTGGGGGTGCCCGAGCCACACAGATCCCGCCGGCTGTACCATCACCGCTGGTTTTTGCTAAAAGGCTCCAGAAGCCCAGGGGCCTGGAGAGACTCAGTTACTGAGGTGGGGCCGCGGCCAGAGGCAGGGAGGCCTCTTCTGCAGCCTCCGCCTGGTGGGGTAGGAAGCCCTCCACGGGAGAACCACCCTGTGTTCCCGTCACTGACACTGCAGGTGGGAAGCGGTGCCCTGAACGAAGGAGCGAGGCAGCCAGGAGCCCTGGCTGGTGCAGCTCAGTGGACTGGGCGCCGGCCTGTGCACCGAGAGGTCGCTGGTTCAATCCCCAGTCAGGGCGCAGCCCGGCTTCGGGCCAGGCCCCCAGAGGAAGGGGAGCAAGGAGAGTGACTCTCACAAATCGATGTTTCTCTCCCTTCCCCTCTCTCTAAAAGTAAATAAATGAAACCTCTGGGGGTGGGGCAGAGAGAAAGGCTCCCAGGAAAGACAAATGAAGCCGCATCCCGCCGAGACCAACGTCCTCGCCTTCAGAAGAGATGCTGCTCCGCCCACACAGGCGACCTCACAGGACAGGGGCGGGGCCGGGGGCGGGGCAGGGGGCGTGGAGACGCAGCGCCTCCTGTGTCCACAGGGGGGCAGGACAGAGGCTCCAGTGCCGGGGACTGTGGCTGAGGCTGGTCCTGTCCCAAGTGCCACCCGGGAGGACGTGAGGTTCAGAGAACCCAGGAGGCACAGAACCGGGTCCCCCTGCCCCCACCCCCCAGCAGCTCAGAGTCACAAGCGAGGGCACCAGCACCTGTTGCCCTGGGGGGCTCACCTGACCTTGGCCACCAAGCTCTCAACTCAACACTGCCACCGCCCGTCCCAAGCTAACCTCCGGCATCAGGCCCATTTCACAGGGAAACACGCATGCAGAGTACGTCCCACCTTTCCTAGAGACGGCCACAGCGCCAGCACAGCACCTGACAGAGCCTGCAGCCGACCAGGGCCACCCAGGACCCCCCCCGCCCCCCGCACAGGCCCTCTGCCCGCAGTCACAGGGGAACCTCTTTCCCCACAATCCTAGTTATTTGTTGGAACTGAATCCTCTGTCCTGCAGAATTCCCCACCCTCGGGGGGCTGCAGCCTCAGACTGTCGTCCTGACACAGTCCTCCGTGAACCCCTCACCCCTCAACACGTCCTTTCACTGTCCTCCTGAGAACTGGTGTTCCGGAGGCTGGGGGGCCTGACTTGGCCCCCGTGGTGCTCGGCCCTCCGCCCGCACCTCAGAGACACGGCCCAGGGATCCCCGGGTGCAGGGCGGTCCGCTCCGAAGTCCCCGTCAGCTCCCCTGCCCGCGCGTCCCAGCAGCCACGAGGGAGGACCAGTGCCCAGGCCCATTTCCTCTGCGGGGACAGGTGGCTCTCTGGGCCCTGCACTCCTGCTCCAGCTTCTGCCTCTTCCAGAGGCCGTGCCCGTTGCTCGGCACAGGGACCCTGGACGGCCAGGTGCTCTCGGGTCCCCCCCACCTTCCTCCCTTTGTCAATCTTCAGAAGAGAGCTGACTGCCTCATGGTCCCCAGAGGTGCCCCCACGCCTGTCGGTGTCATCGTGGTTGCAGAGATGTTTCATATATTTCTCATCCACCGAGGGCAGTTTCTTCGGCAGCATCTCTGGCCTGAGGGAGCCCCGTGTGGGGCCACGTGGCCCCGGGGCCTCCTTGCTCTCAGACCCAAGAGTCCTGGGCTCCTCCGGGGCTGCCCCTCCCCCGAGCCAGCTCCGCTTGGAGGGGCGTCCAGGCACCGCAGGGCGGCCGGCCAGTCACTTTCAGCGTCGACCTTCTCTGAAAGTGCGAATCTGAGTTTACGGCGACTTCCACCTTCGGCATGAAGGTCATCAAATTCAGGTTAAAAAAATCCTACCCAGTACAGACACAGTACTACAACCTTTAGGAGAAAGAAAAAACACCTACCTGTTATAATACATATGCTTCTGAAAATTTTTACTTAAAAACTCCTTGTAAAAGTCAGCCATTTCTTCAGCACTCAATGTCAACTTTTGACCTGAAAATAAATGTCAACTTCAGCATTAATACTTAAGGGAAAGGAACCCACACAAGACTATCAATCTAACAAATGAGTGTAGGCCCTGGCTGGTGTAGCTCAGTGGATTGAGCTCAGGCTGCAAACCAAAGGGTCGCCGGTTCCATTCCCAGTCAGGGCACATGCCTGGGTTGCAGGCCAGGTCCCCAGTAGGGGCCACATAAGAGGCAACCTCATACTGATGTTTCTCTACCTCTCTTTCTCCTTCATTTTCCCTCTGGACAAAAATGAATAAAATCTTCTTTAAAAATTAAAAAAAAAAAAAAAAAGCTTACAAGGTTGCAGGACACCCAACTCTGTTTCTTTGTTTTTAAAGACTTTATCTATTTTTAGAGAGAGGGAAAGGGAGGGAGAAAGAGAGGGAGAGAAACATCAGTGTGTGGCTGCCTCTCATGTGGCCCCGACTGGGGACCTGCCCTACGACCCAAGCATGTGCCCTGACTGGGAATCGAACCGGTGACCCTTTGGTTCGCAGGCCAGCACTAAATCCACTGAGCCTCACCAGCCAGGGCCCAGCTGTGTTTCTACACACCAGCAATAAACAATTTGGAAACAAGGTTAAAAAAACAATTCTATTGACGAGAGCACCAGACAGAACAAAGGACTCGGGACTGATCTGAGAGGGAGCGGAGCCCGGCCCGCGGGCGGGGTGAGGCCCCACTCGTGGACCCGAGGACCCGCTGTGGCTGGTCTGCGGGCGGCGCAGCCCCAGGTCGGCACGTCCACTCCTCACAGGGGAGGCCCGGCCGCCCGGCCAACACCTCAAGTGACCAGGCAGACGGAGGCCGGGAGGAAAAGGAAAGACCTGCTGCCCGAGGAGCCACGGGAGCCCAGGGCCTCGGAAGGTGACGTCTCAGCTGGGTCCCCAAGAACGACCAGGGTCCCGCAAGGCACAGAATCGGGCAAAAACTATCAGGGGCTATGAACCGGCACAGGCCTAAGACGCAGGCAGGTGAACCGGTGGAGGGGCCGGCCGAGCCAGAGTGGGAGGCGGGCCCGAGGAAGGGCACCCGGGCCGCGGGCCCGAGGGCTTCAGTGCTGGGGAGCAGGGCATGGGGTGGACCTGGGTCCCCATGGTGCACCTCCTGAGGGGCAGCCGAGCCCCCGCTGGGCCGGCCCAGACACCCCACGTCCCAGCAGCAGGCAGGACAGCAGAGGCCCAGGTTCCGCACACAGGTCACAGTCTGATGCTGGCCATCAAGCAGAAGCACCGTGAACACCGGCCCACACCCCACACCTGTGCATGGCGCCGGGCGCTGCTGGGCCTCGGTGACAGGAAACAGGCCGCGCCCCTGGGAGGGCCAGACGCAGAGAACCAGGCCTGGCCGGCTCTGACTCACGGTGTACGACTCGGGGCCAGCAACTCCCTCCTGGTGGTCACAGCACCGTCCACCGGTGTGTGGTCACGTCTACACCTGCGCTCGGCTTTCTGTGAAGTCCAGCTGCCCTTCGCCTCGGCTGCACACCCCCACCAGCATGCTGTTCACACCTAACTCGTCTCCCGGACACGACAGTTTGGCCCTCAGCCCTCGGGTTTGCCAGGTGCCGTCCTTGCAAGCCCCCCAGGCCTCTGCTTCCAGGGCACGGCCTGACCCCTGGGGCCTCGGGCTGCCTCCTCACACTGGAGAGCAATGAACCGAGAGGGAAGCAGAGCAGGCTGAGCAGCGGGGTCAGAGGAACTGGGACAGGAGGGTGGGGGTCCCGGGTTCCCTCTGGGCCGCCAGGCTGGGGGTGCAGGGTCCTGGGTCGGAGCCACAGACAGGTCAGAGGGCATCCTCACCAGCACGCCGCTCCCCCAGAGAACGGTCAGCTTGGTCTGTTAGACTCTCTACAGCTGGGGGCTACGTGTCTGAACTTTTAATCCATAAACAACTGACTTTCAATAATTAGCTTTGACTTGTTTGGGGTATATTTGTATCACAGGGGACAGGAAACCAAGTGAGTTCTTCTGGACCAAAGTAACTGGTTTCTACCACGTCATTTACTGAACATACCCTCCCTGGAGTCTGCGGGCCCGACCCACTGTGTCCTCTGCCCACTGGGGGGGACAGCCTGCCCCCCACCTCCCCGTCCGGTCGCCATCAGACGGCTGATGACACCTCCCTCTCCCGCAGCCTCTCCTGCTTTACCCAGTGAACCTTTAACTCTCAGTGAACACCTTGCCCTCGGTAGGAACACCTTGACACCATGGACGGGACTCGAAACGCCCCCTCCCGCGCCACGAAGGGTGGTTTGTCTCCAAAGCAGCCCCCACAGACCCCACCTGACCCCGTCGACAGACTTAGGGGGCTGGCACCCTCCGACCTTGGCCCTGGTCCACGCGGGTTCGTGGCCCAGGCGGCTGGAGGCCTTGCTCCTCAGCTCGGCCAGAACAGCAGCCCAGGCGAGCTGAGAACCGCTGGGGCCGTCCTCGGGACCCGACCGCACAGGTCAGAGCCGAGGGCCTTGTACTCGACCACCGCAGCTCTCGTTAAATGACCCACCCTCACCCGTGAATGTAAAAGGAACAGCACCCACCTTGCGGGTCACTCGGAAAGGAAAACAGACACACAGGCGAAGGGCCCGGCACAGCTGGAACTGGAAGCTGAGCCGCCCCCCACCCCAACTCGAGGGGCCAGGCCAGCGACGGAGCCCAGCTCGGGGTCACTCCACGCCCCTGCCCTTCGCTCTAGAGGGGCCCGGGCGAGGCTGAGGAAGGGCCGGTGCCTTGGCCCAGGAACAGACTTGGCTTTTGGGGTCCATGGTTTTGGACTTCTCATCAGAAAGTTTTTTGGGGGAGGTCAGAAATGACCCAGGGTCACCAGAGGGGGGCGGGCAGACAGCTGTTGCACAGAGTGGGGGACCCTGACCGGCCCCTCCCGTTTTCACCGCCTCATGCAGTCACTCGCCCAAGAAACCGACCCAGTGGACTGACCTGACTTGGCTCTCAGTCCCGGGCCTTTAGCTCTCAGTCTCGAGTGGATAAACTCTTCTTTTTCCTGAAAGAAGACAACATGGAAGGGCCCTTCCGTCTCCCGCCTCTCCAGCCAGGACGCAGAGCTGTTGGGAGGCCCGGGCACGGGTTTCCGGGGAAACGGCCTCTCGAAGCCTCTGGTCCACCTTCTGAGTGGTCGCAGGTCTCCTGCTTGAGACGGGACTTGAAAGCGAGCTATCAGCACACTCTGGGGGCACTGTCCACGGAGCACAGGACGAGATGCGCCCGCCCCGCCCCACGCAGCCCACCGAGGCGGATGGACCTAGGAAACCTGGATGTGCTCCTGCTGGACGAGGGCAGCTGTGCTTGTTTCCCACGCAGCTTGTTCACGAGTGTGCTGCCGGGGGGTCTGCACACCCAGAAGGGACGAGCACACGCCACAGAAGCCCCATCTCAGGAACCTTGACGGCCGTGTTTTGGTTCTGCTTCTCCCTTCCCCTCCTCCAAAGTCTCAGGATTTGTGACCCCGTGACTGATTGATACGTTCTAGGTACAGCTACGTGTTGTTTTAAAAAGTATATGCAGCCCTGGCTGGTGTGGCTCAGTAAACTGAGCACCAGCCTGCAAACTGGAGAGTCGCAGGTTTGATCCCCAGTCAGGGCACACGCCTGGGTTGCAGGCTGGGTCCCCAGTAGGGGGTACATGTGAGGCAACCACACACTGATGTTTCGCTTCTTCCCTTTCTCCCTCCCCCTCTGCCTAAAAATAAATAAATACAATCTTTAAAAAAGGAAATCTCAGCCTTGACAAAAATAGTACAAAGCCCACCCATACATCTACACACGCACAGGCGTGTGGGGGAGGCCAGGCTGAGACACGGGCATCGACAGGTTCTTGGAAACCAGCAACACGCGACCATACCGGTTTTGCAGGTCGCCTGACATAAACAAGACTTAAATGCCCAGAGCGCGGAAGGAACCACGGGCTTTCCAAGAACCTGCGGTAACTGAGAGACAAAGCAAACACTGAAGACTTAGCGCCCCCAAGTGGCCGCCCGTGTCACTGCTCCTCCCCAGGGGACAGACCCTCACCTTAAGAAAGGTCACGTTCTGGTTCGCCCAGAACCGCTGGTTCCACTCCTGGGTTTCTTGTCTTAATTCTCTGAGCTTCTGTTCCGCTGCCGATTCGTCTTTGGGGATGTAAAAGTGGACGGGCCGCAGGTTGGAAAGCTTGTCTGGTGGTCCAATCCAGTCCCGGTGAGAATGGCTAGGGGGGCGGAACCCCGAGGCCTGCAAGGAAACGCACAGTCAGCCAGACGGACCTCCGGCGTCGGAACGCGCAGTCCGGGCCGACGGGAGGTCCTGGGGGGCGTCCTCCTCCTCCTGCAGGACTGTGACCAATGCGCACATTCCCACCACGGCAAAGGGATTCAACGCGTGCACCGGACCCTCAGCCCGGGCCTCGCACCACATGCAAAGGTGTCCTCCCGGCGGACCCCAGACCTGAGTGCGAGACCCGCTCTGTAAAACCTGGGAGCCGCAGGGGAAGACGGCACGATCTGGGGTGAAGCCCCGATTTTCTCAACACGAAAAACAGTCCAGGGGACTGGGCGGCGCCGGGAGGAGGTGTCCGCTCTCCAACGAACACAGCGAAGCCAGTGAGGACAACCCGCAGGCCGGGAGAAAACACCGGCCCCCCCCCCCCCCCCGCACGCAGTCCAGCACCCCGCCCCCCCGCCCCATGTCTTTATCCAAGGCAAGAGTTCTCACAAAAGCCTGTATGTGAGGCTTTCTTCATGACCACCCAAACCTGGGAGCAGCCCAACACCCCTCCTCCAGTAAGTGACGTGTGCGCATGAGCACACCGCCCGGCCACGGAGAGCCTCAGGCGGCCCAGGGAGGCAGGCGCACTGCGCCACGCAAGCAACCGCCATCCAGCGTCCGCGTGACCCTCCGCCAGTGAGGACGGAGGGGCTGGGCAGGTACAGAGGGATCTCCAGGGCCATGAAAATGTTCCACGGACTGTGGTGCGCATGTTTGTCAGGGTGAATTTTAGTGAATGGAAACTGGATTTCAACAAGCCTGATTTTTAAATTATTTTTTCAATTTTATTTATTTTTAGAGAGAGGAGGAGGGAAGACAGAGGAGAGAAGCATCAGTCGGTCACTTCTCATGAGCCTCCCAACCTGGGACCTGGCCCACAACCCAAGCATGTGCCCTAACTGGGAATTGAACCTGTGACCCCTTGGTTCACAGGCTGCTGCTCAGTCCACTGAGCCACACCAGCCAGGGCTGATACTAAAATTAAAAAGTTATTCAGTTAATCCAAGGACTGCCTTTCCATTGGTCTTTTGAAGGATCGATGTAACCGAAGTTCATAGGGGAACACACAACTCCAGTCGGAAGTCTCTACACCTGGTTTTCTAACAAGCAAGCCCTGCAGAGCACTGGGGGGACCAGGATTCTGCCCCGAGCCCTCCCTCCAGGAAGAACCCTCCCTCCACAGCACCAGACAGGGGCGAGCCGCGGACCCACACACAGCATGTGGAGGTCCCAAAACAACAGAGAACCAGGCACCAGTGAGGGCAGACCAGGTGGCTCCACCTATGTGACATTCTGGGACAAGTACCCAGACCAGCGGTTGCCTGGGGTGGGGAGAGGGGGCCTGGAGGCACCATCTTGATCTCACCGGGGTGGGGTCTGCAAAGATTCACACACCTGTCAGAACGCACCAAATGCACCCTCACAGCGGGTATATTCATTTTACTGCATATAAATCACACCTTGACAAAGACAATTAAATGCACATCATCTTCAAAATTTTGATTTAGATAAATGATTTGGTGGACAGAGATGTCAAGTTTACAGATATGCCAATTACTGACAAACTAGCCTCAGAACGCCCAGGAGTTCTGAGCGAGCCAGAATTCCCCACCGTCAGGAGTGCTGTGGCTCAGAGGGTCGAGTGCTGTCTGCAAACCCAAAGGGTCACCAGTTTGAACCCCAGTCAGGGCACACGCCTGGGTTGCGGGCCAGGTCCCCAGTAGGGGGTGTGTGAGAGGCAAGCACACACTGATGTTTCTCTCCCTCTCTTTCTGCCTCCCTTCCCCTCTGTCTGAAAGTAGATAAAACCCTTGAACGAACGAGTGCCCTTCCATAGCTGCTGGTCTTTGGTGAGTATCTGTTTCCGCTCCGCCCTTCCTGCAGACTCAACGTCACTGCAGGCCATCGCCACCTCGGTCTGGTAGCTCCGCAGGCCTCTCCCGGTGTCACTGAGAAGTAACACTGGGCCCCTAAGAGGCACAGCCCAAGTGGAAGGTTCCAGACGAAGGGCTGGCACAGCCACACGGGCAGGAAGGAGGGCACCCTCCCTGAGAGAGAGTGACAGGGCCCCTGGTGGCAGAGCCACTGCCCGCTCAGACCTGGAGCACCTCAGACCCGCAGGTCGGACCGGACCGGTCCAGTCGGCTCCGGGCTGAGCACCCCGTTCAAGAGGCGCAGGCAGGACTGGCCTCTGTGGGTCCGCACGTCACCATCCACCGTCAAAGAATGGCGTCCAATCACAGCTGCCTATTGGCTTGTGAAACGAAAAAAGAGCTTTTAGAAACCACTCTCTGCAACTTTTTCTGGACCTTCTCCCCCCAGGCCCTTCTCAGAAACTGAAGGCAATGCCCACAGAGGCCCCCAGCGGGCAGAGGCAGAGGTCCCGGCAGGGCAGGGCTCCTGCCCTGCACCCGCCCCCTAACAAGTCTGCTCTGCCAGCAGCAAGGAGCAGAAGGGAAGAGTTCCCCCCACCCCAACAGTGCTGATCACCTGGTTTCCACCTTCCCAGGCCGCCCCCAGCCCCCACCCCTCAAAGTTCCCCACCAGGAAGGGTTACAGGAGCCACCCCAGTGGTGCTGGCCTCTTCTGGCCTCTCCCAGCCTCTCCAGGCTCCCGGCAAGTCACCCGAGCAAGCATGACACCATCCTCCGCTTCCCTTACAAGCTGGGAGGGCTGTTCCTCTGGGCTCCCCACAAACATCTCGCCTGCCTCTGTTCCCCAAGAACTGCTATTTCAAAGGGACAAGGGACTTGTGGGACGAGGGAGAAAGTCCTTTGTAAAAGGAAACGTCGCTTTGAAGTGAATAATTACTGTAATTTACAGTTCTTGCAGCACAAGCTTCCCCAGAGGAGGGGACGGGAGGGGCCGGAAGACCTGCTGCGACCTGACAGCCCTGGCCTCCCCCCCCCATCCCCGGGCCCCATGGGTGGGGTGGTGCGTGCCCTCACCTGCCTGAGGGCCCCTGCAGGGCTGCGCCTGCGAGCAGAGCTTCCAGCATCTGTCCCTCCCTGTAACCTGCCAGCTTCTCCGGTGCAGCCACCAGCCGCCAGGCTCCAGCTCTCTGCTCCCCCATAGGCTCCAGAGGCCCGCAGCACACACCCACCCTGGGGCCTCCCCTTCCAGAAGCCAGGACTCAGGGTGGGGACCTGTCCCAGCACCCTCTTCCCCACAGGCTCCCAAGGACAGCATGCGGAGCACCTGAGTCCCAGCAACAGGCGAGGGTGAGAGGAGCGGGACCGGCAGCCGGAGTGTTCGAGGGCGTCCCTGGTCCCTGGTTCCCGTCTCGCCTCCTCTGAGAGGGGAGCCAAAAGCCCCCTTTTTCCTCTAGAGGGTTGGAGACGCCCAGACAAACCAGCACATCCGGGCAAAGGGCCGGCACCTCGGGACCAAGATGACTGGATACCAGGGGCGCAAGGCTGGTTTAACATCAGAAAAGCAATCAATCCCGATGGAGCAACACACCACCAAGGAGCAGTCTTCTCAGAAAAAGAAAAAAGTCGAGTATGAATGAGGATGAGGCTCCAGGACACAGCTGTCAATTCACAGGAGACGCATGGTCATGTTAAGTCACACCATGGGGACGGGACCAGAAAGATCCAGGTGGCAGGGACTTTGAATGGGCACATCACATCCTTTCCCTGCCCCAAATAAACTGCTTTTCTTTAAAAAAAAAAAAAAAGGAAAGGAAAGGGATGGAGTCAAAACCTAGACATTAAGAGAAATAAAAGCACATCAACCAATCATAACACGTAGACCTCCTTCCACCCTGACAAAAACAAACTGTAGAAGAAAACAGTCCTGCCCTGGCCAGTGCGGCTCAGCAGGTTGAGGGTCGCCTTGTACACCGAAAGGTCACTGGTTCGATTCCCGGTCAGGGCACAGGTCTGGGTTGTCAGTTTGATCCCCAGTTGGGACACATGTGGAGGCAACCGATCTATGTTTCTCTCACATTGATGCTTGTCTCTCTCTTAAATGAGAATAACATAATCCTTTAAAGAACAGCCATTCCTGACATTTCTGAGACAATCTAAAAAAACCCAAGCATTGCCATTTACTGGAGTTAAGGAATCATTATCATATTTTTAGGTGTGACAATGGTCTTCTGTTTACGTATCTTTTTTTAAGGCCTCATCTCTCAAAGGTACTGAAATAATTGCAGATGAAGTTCAATGTCTGATGACTGCCACTGAATTACCGGGGACCGGGGTGGGGTGCGGGATGGGGGTCAGGACGAGACGAACAGTGACCAACAGGCCAGTGTAGCAGTGGGTACTGGACACAGAGCGATGACGCCTTGTCTTTGTCGCTCTCCACACGCACTTTCAAAGGGTCCTGAGCACAGGAACCGAGTCAGTGAGCCAGGGTGATTCCGCGCGGAAAGAGAGGGGTGACTCGGGCCACTCCACTGGGTGAAGAAAAGCATTTGGTAAAGTCACCAAGGCCAACCGTGGGGGGCGGAGCTGCTGCTCACCACCTACCCGGCAAACCTCCGAAGACAGAATTGGGTGGAAAAGATCTTTTACTTAATGGCAAGTTTCTGCCTAAAACAGCTGGGTGACGACAGTTGGGGCAGAGAAGTCAGTCCAAGGACGCATCAGGAACAGCCGCTCAAAGATCTGCATCACAGCGCGTGCAGAGGTTCAGGTTCAGGAACCGAGACCATACGGGGAACAAACTCCCGCTCCCAGCGCTGGCTGCCGTCACCAGGGCTTTGGGAACAACGGCAAGCATCTGCCTCACAGCCGTCCCTCCAAGACACCCAGAGAGAAGCCACCCTGTCACCTCGGCCAGCACAGTCCAAGGTTGCGCCGGGAAGCCCTTCTCCCACCCAGGTGCTGTGAACGTGGGTGGCCAAGCAGGACTCGTCGCTGTCCAGCTCGGCATCTTTCAGGAGCCGCTGCCCCAGGCCGCAGCACAGGCTCCACTGGCCACCACTGACACCGCCCCCACAAAGGGGATGGAACCACCCGCCCTCCTGCGCCCTGGCGCTCAGTTTCAGAAGTCCTCTCCCAGAATTCCATGCGCCCCCAAGCCAGTGGGTGTGTCCGGCCCTCCAACCTACGAGGGCCAGTGTCCCTCTCCCAGCCGCCATGTTCAGCAAGGGGCCACGTCTCCAGTCACCCCTGCGCAGAGCAAATGCCTCCCCCACTTCCTAGGGCATGGGGGGCCCTGTTACAGCGACATGAGAACCCTGGGCTGAGAGAGCAGAAAACCGGGCGGGAGCTGGCCTCCACGGCACATCACCAGGCACGTCACCCGACCGCTCTGGGTTCTAAATTCCTCACCCTTATGACAATGGAGCGGAGCATGGTTTTTGAAGTCTTCCCCTCCAGCTTTAATTTTTTCAACTAACTGCTGAAACCCTTTGTACTAGCAATGCCACGTTAACTTTAATATCCCATGAGACCTCTCACTGGTGTCTCATCTACTTTGAGTTTCAACTTCCTCCTTAGAATGTTTATTCTACACTTCGGGGTTTGCAGAGCATTCTCTGTACTGAAAATCTAAGCAAACCATGAGATCAGACTTCCATTCTTTGTTACCTATAAGTGCTACCCGTCCACACAGAGGGCCAGCTTCTTTGTTCCTTCTGATGCAAAAATCACTAGAAGAAAAAGCTCATTCCCTCTCTTCTGGATGTAACCACCGCAAGCACACACACTTGCCGTGTGCAGATGTGACGATCTCGGGACAGGCACTCAGTCTCCCAGTCCCCGAGTTGCCTCACCTGTGAAACGGGGGTGGCAAGAGCAACGACTGCGTAAACTCTGAGGGGCCGTAAGTCAAACCACGTAGGACTCTCGGAACAGCACTTGCAGGCGCTCAATGAACATTAACCATCGCCACAAAGGCCAGCGAACCCAGCCCACTGGGGGAGTGTGAAAGGCAACCAACTGATTCGATGTTTTTAAATAAAAATAGATTATATTTATGTTTAGAGAGAAGGGAAGAGAGGGAGAAAGAAAGGGAGAGAAACACAAGCCCCCCAACTGGGGACCTGGCCCACACCAGGCATGTGCCCGACGGGGGATCAACCAGCGACCCCCCACTTCACAGGTGGGCGCTCAGTCCACTGAGCCACAGCAGCCAGGGCGCGCTGTGGTTTTCAGTCTTCTCCACGATCACGATGTGCAGACAAGTTAAACAATGACATTAAGCTACACAGATGAGGAGTCAGCAGGCAGGAAGCAGCTCAAGACCACTTCTTTGGAGCGCCCAAGCCCAGGTTCTGCGACACTTTCCTAGCAGGAACTAGAACCCGGCAGGAGGTACACAAAGATGGGACAGAAACGCAACACCAGCGGCCCCAGGTGAAAACGGCCTTTTTCTGCCCCTGCTGCATCTAGGATAAGGTGCCCCACCCAAAAAACATCACCGGTGCCATCGTCGTGCTGAAGCCGGGCAGGGTCTCTCGGGCAGGGTCTTTCGCACAGGTCGCCAACTCCACCTCCACAGGGCTGTGGCCCAACAGGTGCTCAGCACTGGACTGCCACAGCAGAGGGCAGAAGGGGGCCCTCCTGGGGGTCCGCACCCCTGGGGGGCGGTGCTGCCTGCCCCGCCAGAGCACTCCCAGTACCTGCTCAAAACCTCTCTGCGCCAGGAGTGGGGTGCTGGGTGGGGTGAGTGGGATGACAGCGTATGTGAATCGAGGTCAGAGCTGCCATCCTGTATCAGGGGCCCAGCCAGGGGCCCAGCCTCTGGGGGACCCGTTGCCCTGGTTAACTCCTCTAAACTGTCACCTAGACAGACTTCCAAAGCCACATTTACAAAAGAATGTTAGTAACAACAGACCAAAAGGCACGAAAACTCACAGGCAGACACATTTTCGAATTCTTCAAACAGGCTCTTTTGTCCCCTTATTTAATGACTGTTGCAACCAGGCTTTCCAGCCCCCCTCGTTAGCCCGTCAGCAAACCTGATGTTTGGGTGCTTTGTTTAACTATTCCATTAGTCAACACTTCACGTGGCTGCTGGAATAAAGGCCTCCGACTCCCCGAAACACAACATACTTCCCCGGAGAAGTGCAACTCACAGAACCTGCCTGCCGGACACAAGCCTTGGCGGCTCTCTGGTCAGGAATACACGCACGTGCGCGGTTTCCAAAGAAGAAAAAGGGGTCAGCGTGAAGTCCTACAAAATACGATGACGAAGTTTGCCAGCGCTTGAGGAAAAGCACTAACGGTCTTTTTCTTGATACTAAAAATCTCAACAAAATCAAAATACAAACAAACAAACAAAAAACGAGCTGTGCGCCTCACGAGTTCTTTAAGGAAGTCACCCTCGAGGAGGAACGAGGCACGTACCAACCGCCAGCTGGCCCTACGACAGCAGCAAGTCCATCACCTGCGCGGGCGCGTAGCCTCAGCTCCCCAGGCCAAGGGGCGGACCCCGGACCCCGGGGCTCAGCGGCGGCCGCCGCAGTAGGGCGCTCAGGTTGCCGGAGGCACAGGTGTTCCAGGGGCGCGGCCTGAGCGGGCACCCCTCCCGGCCCAACCCCTCCGGGAACCCCGCTCACCCGGCTGGGCGCCGCATCCCTGCACTCGGCGCCGCGCTCCGGGAGGAGCCGACAGCTGCTGCCGGCGAAGGCGCGGCTCAGAGGAGCGTGACGGCTCTTTCCCAAGGCCCGCCAGGCGGCCATGGCCCGCGTCCCCCACCAGCTCCCACAGCGCAGTCGCGACGGCGCGCCCGGCTGCCTTACGACGCGTCGCAAAGCCAGAGGGCGGGGAGCTGTGGGCCGACTGTGCTTGTTCCCCGTGTCGGATGGACTGCGGGGGCGGCGGGACGGCGTGGGCGACCCCGGCAGCCGCTTCTTAGCGGCGGCCACTCCAGGCTGCAGGACACGGCAACTAGAAGCGGACTCCGCGCGGAGCGCGACCTGACGGCGGAGGACGTTTTCCCAGGATCGTGGGCGTTTGGCCCGGGGCGGGGCTGCTGGGCGGGCGACTGTCGGAGCCACAGAGTCAGACGGAGTCGGCGGCGGTACGCGGGAAGGCGCAAGCGCGCGCGATGGCGCACGCGGCCCAGGTGAGCGCGGCGCGCCGGCAGCGCCAGCTTCCTCCTTCTCCGGCTGTGCGCACCCCCCACCCCAGGCGCGGACCCGGAGGACCGCTCCTGCCCGGCGCTCGCGGAGCTCAGTGCAGCCGAGGCCTCTGGATCAGCCGCGGGCGGGGCGGAGCCGGATCTCCGAGTGGGACTCGCATCTCCTCCCTCCTGCTCCATGGGCGGGCGGAACGCTGCCGCCCCCACCTCCGCGGGCCATTGTGAGGTCAGGCTGGAGAGCGCGTCCGGGGCCCGGGCGACACGCCCGGAGCGGCCGCCAGGGCTAGTACCTGCCACCGCCACCGCCGGCCCCTTCACCCGCTGCCCGGTTCAGACCTAGCCGGGAGGGGCGAGAGGGATGCAGCTTGGGGCCCAGGGCCGGTGCCGCACCCCGTAAAGGGCTGATCTTCCACCTCGCCACTCACCTACGGGAAGCCAAGACCAAACCAGTTAGCTCTCTTCTGGGTAAAGTGCCGGGCGGGAAGCGGAACGCGGAGGAAAGAAGGCGGGCAGCCTGCCCTTCGTGGCCTCCAAGAGGCGTGTTCGCGGCTCGGACACCCGCGAGGGACTGGTTTCCATCGATTATCTATTTCTTTCCAGTGAGCTGTTTCCTAGAAACCCAGGAGCATGACGGGAGGCTAGTGAACTCGTTATTTAGTTGTCACATTTTGGGGGGGAGGGGAGGGGAGCATGATAGGGCCGGGGAGGTACGAGGCTTCCAAAGCCCAAGATGGTGCCCTTTGGCATAACCCCGCGCCCTTCCCTCCCTAGGGAATTTCACATCCCGCGGGGAAGGTCTGTGAGGTGCTGGCAGGGTCGAGGGAACAGAGGACCCTGGAAACGGCCCTTCAGGGGCGTCTGGGAACTGCGGGTGTATGTTTCTCTTAGAATTACTTTTTCCGGAAACTCGGACATAGATAGCTTTTGGCCAGATGGAAGCCGAGATAGGCTGGTCAGCCTCGAAGGCCGCGGAGTGGCTAGTTTACATTCCACAAACCGGCCCTGCCAGTGCCGACCAGCAGTGTCCAGTGTTAGACTAAGGATGCCTGCGCCGTCCGGGCTGAGAGGTCAGACACGTTCAGGCCCCACGCAGCAAGAGCGCCCTACTGCTCCAGGGGCCCCTGGAGGGACTGGCGCACTGGGCCCGGAGCTGCAGCTCGCAGACCACAGTCACCCACTGGTCTGGGGCACCAGGCGGTGAGGGTTCTCAGGAGCAGGAGTCAGTGAGTCCCTTCTTCCTGCCCCTGTGCCCGCTGTTCCTGGACTGCAGTAGTGACCGGCCCTTTTGAACATAGCTTTTCAAAACAAGCATTTTAGAATCCATTAATTAATACGTGGCTGCCATTCGGCAGAGATTCTGTCGTGTAATAAGCTGTGGCTCTCGTCCTCTTTCAGTGCTTGTGAAACCGAACCCTCCCAAAGCATGGACATGGGAAACCAACACCCTTCCATCCACAGGCTGCAGGAAATCCAGAAGGAAGTGAAGAGTATGGAACAGCAAGTCGTCGGCTTCAGCGGCCTGCCAAATGACAAGAGTTACAAGAACTTGGAGAGGATGCTAATGAAACAGCTTTTTGAAATAGACTCTGTTGATACGGAGGGGAGAGGAGATGTCCAGCAAGCCCGGAAGAGGGCGGCTCAAGAGACAGAGCGGCTCCTCAAGGAGCTAGAGCAGAACGCAAGCCACCCGCACCGGATGGAAATACAGAACATCTTCCAAGAAGCCCAGTCCCTGGTGGAGGAGAAGATCGTGCCGTTCTACAGTGGCGGCACCTGTGAGACCGTGGAGTTTGAGGAAGGCATCCAGGACATCATTCTGCGGCTGACGCATGTGAAGACGGGTGGGAAGATTTCCTTGCGGAAGGCGCGGTACCACACCCTCGCCAAGATCTGTGCGGTGCAGGAGATCATCGAGGACTGCACGAGGAAGCAGGCATCCCTGCCGCTCCCCGAGGATGCGCACCCTTCAGTGGCCAGGATCAATGCGGTCATGTGCGAGGTGAATAAGGCCAGAGGCACCCTGATCGCACTGCTCATGGGCGTGAGCAGCGACGAGACCTGCAGGCATTTATCCTGCGTGCTCTCTGGGCTAACAGCGGACCTGGATGCTTTGGACGTTTGCGGGCGCACCGACGTCCGGAACTACCGAAGAGAGGTCGTGGAGGACATCAACAAGCTACTAAAGTACCTGGACCTAGAGGACGAGGCAGACGCCGCCCGCGCCTTTGACCTGGGGCAGAATCACTCCATCATAGAAATAGAAAAGGTCCTCACAAGAATGCGGGAAATTAAAAACGAGCTGCTGCAAGCCCAGAGCCCCCCTGAGCTGTACCTGAGCTCCAAGACAGAGCTGCAGGGCCTCATCGGCCAGCTGGACCAGGTGAGCTTGGAGAGGAACCCGTGCATCCGCGAGGCCAGGAGGAGAGCGGTGATCGCGGTACAGACGCTCATCACGCACATAGACCTGAAGGAGGCCCTGGAGAAGAGGAAGTCGTTCACGGGCGAGGAGCACCCGTCTCACAGAGCCGTCTGGAACATCCTGGGCCACCTGTCCGAGATCTTGGGGGAAGTGCTGTCCTTTGATGGGAACCGAACCGACAAGAACTACATCCGGCTGGAGGAACTGCTCACCAAGCAGCTGCTGGCCCTGGACGCCGTGGACCCGCAGGGCGAGGAGAAGTGCAAGGCCGCCCGCAAGCAGGCCGTGAAGCTGGCGCAGAGCATCCTCAGCTACCTGGACCTCAAGTCCGACGAGTGGGAGTACTGAGGCCGCCGGGCCCGCTTCCGGGTCTGCACTTTGCACAGGCGCGCGCGTGCGCGCGGGGCGCTTCCGGGTCGTCGGGCCTGCGTGTGACTGACGCGTGCATATTTCAGTCTCAGTATTTATGATTTAAGCAAATTATATTCAGTATCTGCTGCTTCCGATGTTGCAAAACAAATGTCATTACAGCACACTGATTTTTTTCATTTGGATTATCTGCATGTTGTGTTTTGTTTTTCCATCTGAAAATGGAATAGGGGCACCTTCTGTCATTTTTAACTAGGTTGTGCAGAAGCAAAAAAATGCATGTTCCAGAATCTGGAAACAGCCCCAGCGAGCAGGTGCCTTGGTGGGGGGGGGGGGTTGGTCATGTGCCAGCTCTGAGCCCCCAGCCGAGCTTCTGCACTTCGCCAGCCAGAGTGAAGCCCAGGGACTTCCTGTTTATAAAGCCCAACGGGTCCCGCCCAGTCAAACTGGGCGGGGCTGCTTTTTTCAGAATGGTCTGTTCTTTCACAAGGTTTGTCTGAAAAGTGTATTTCTCCCCATACTCTGCTTGGTGGGGGGGGGGCAGTTTTTTGTGCGTGTGACAGGAGAAATGATGAGAATCCATAGCAAAGAAACCTTTGAGACTGCTGTGCAGGGGACCAAACACCCACAACTTAGAACTACTTTCAAGTTGTTTTTTGTAAAAACTTAGTTTTCCTTAGTAACTCACAAGGATGGGAGCATTTTGATGAAGTCGAGGGACCTTGAGAAAAGGACCACCCTTCCATGAGGCGGGACCACGAGGACAGGACGAGTGGCCGGCATCCTGCATAGGTGGCATCTGACAGCTGCTTCCGCCATTCATGCTGTGCACGGGCGTGCTCATGAGCCATGGCCAGCCAGGTGGAGCGGGCGCCATCTGCAGCCGCAGGACCAGACCTGTGCTGCTGGTGAGGCTGTTGGCCATCAGCTTCTGGCACCTTCAGTGTAGCACTCCAGGGCCCAGGTTGGGGACAGGGCTCCGCATGCCTGCCGGGCCCCCTCTGCTCATGTGACTGGCTCGGGGCTTCTCCCCGGGTGGGAAAGAGCCAAGACAGCCTGTCAGTGTGTGGAGTTCTACTGCTGCTGCCACAGGGCACGTATTCCCGTAAGTTCTTCCTGAGGCCCCGGGTTGCCGGCGATGAACCTCGGAGTCCCCAGAAGTGCCTTGACAAGGCGATGCAGCCAGGGTCACACTTCCAGGCCACCCTTTCTGAGATTGCCTTTCACAGGGTGCCCACATTGCACTTCATCTTTGGAACTCCAGGCTTCTGTCACCTCTCAGTAATTTCGTAACTTCGTGCAAACAGCTAAATATAGGGCAGGTCGACGAACAGCCCCGTGTTTCCCCACCGCACCTTTTGTGAGGTGACAAAAGCGTGTCCCTGGGCAGACCACTCTGCATCTGCCTGGCCTTCCAAAGCCCTCACTGGTTCCTTCCTGCTAGCACAGGGGTTTGCTGGCCTGTCAAGGTCCCCAGGAAGGGAGCCCCTCCCATTTGCACACCCAGCTCCCAGCAACCGAGTGCGCTGTCTCAGTATGAGTTAATTGGCGGTTCACTTTGGCTAAAGTCACCGTGGGATCACTACTCTGGGTCGTAACTGGAGGGTCCGCACAAGCAGCTGAGCTGGGGCGCTGGGCCTTCCCTGTGAGGCACCCCAGGCACCTGCCTCAGCCGAACTTCAACTTCACAGCCGAAGGTCATGGGGCCCTGTCTCCTTCAGAAGCATCATTCTTCACTAACAGCTCTGCCTGCTGTTCATTTCTCAGGCTTCCTGCAGGCTGTGGAGAGCCGGCTCCCCAGGAGCGTGTGGGGGTGGGGTGTGGAACCCGGCCACTGTCCCCTGGCTGTACTGTGAGTCAC